GGGAAAGAGAAGACTCCTTTTTACCTGACAATGTTCTACTTCATCAGGAAGAACATGAATCACGGATTTGTGCCCTCCATGAGCGCCAAAAAGATCTAGTTCATCGATTGCTTCCAAAGCTGCCTTCAAAAAAACAACAACAAAATATTTTTAAACTGAGCATACGCCCTAGAACCTTGTCTATTTTCCTTCCAAGGCAAAGCAAAAAGAGAAGTTTGCTCCATAGATATTTCAATAATTTTAAAAAACATCTTTTATGGGAAATGGCCTTAAGAAAAAGTAAAGTAAGTCATAATTCTCTTTGTGCTGTAGTGGGATACAGGATGTTCTGGTGAGGCTTCTTACAATTTAAACATAGTGCAAAGCAATGGTAGGCAAAGCTTCTGCTGAGAAATCTCAGTGTTGAAAAGTTTATTACTAAACGCTTCTCCTGTCCCATATTCCAAAATAATCTTTCACTTGGTTCACTCTCACTGCTCCTACCCAAAGGACTGTCCAGAAAGGAAGTCTTGTACAACATGACCTGGGAGCCAAGCAGATTGGTTAGCAGGAATAGAAAGCACTTTACCATTTCCGTCTCTACTGATCCTACTGCTGCTTCACGAGGGAGACGTCTGCCCTCTCCACTCCTAACCAGCTAGCTGAGAAACATCAAGCTCCATACCAACAGATGGATCAGGACGTCTCACACGACTTGGCCATAGGGGTTGGCCTAGAGAAGACGCTAGCGGGGCACCCATTAATTGTAGCTGAGAATCACCATGTTAACCTAGGAAGCTTCAAAATCCCAGCTTTGTTGACATGGGGAGCATCGCCCTGCAGGGGATATGGCTGCAAGACAGCAAGGGTTGGACTACCACAGTCAGGCTGGCAGATGTTTCACCTGAAACTTATATTCACAGAGGTGCAGTAGCACTGATTGCTGCTCCCTGTCCATTTTCACTCTGCAACTTTTGCAACGCAATTCTCTGACAGAGAAAGTAGAGCATTGCAAAGCTTGCCTCATCTCTCTGTAGAGAGGCAAGGGTATTTTTCTTCTTCTAATACAAACATCAGTTTATTGACAGCAAAACAAACAAATATGGGAAACAAG